GCGCCCGGCCAGCTGGTAGGTGCCCTTGTACTCGCTGTAGCCTTTGAACTCTTTCTACGTATTTGTCACAGGTCAGCGAGCCGCATGGGCTCATGGCGTGGGCTTCTCGTGTGGGCAGCCTGTTGCCTCCCGAAGGGCCAGGCTTCCCTCGAAAGGATTGGTGCTTCCTGTCCCACCTGCCCCACCAGGCCACCCACTGCCAGGGCCCTGCGTGACCCTCAGGTGCCAAATAAAAGCTGTCTTTGTTAATGGCCTGTGCTGGTGTCTGCTCTCCTGGCCCTGCTGTCTATAGTGCACGTGTGTCCTGAGCTGAGGGAGGGATTGGGGAGTGGGCAGGAGACCCAAGCAGTGGGCGGTGCGGAGGCTGGGACTTTAAGGTACCCTAGTCTGCAGTGGGCCTGGGGGCACCAAGGGTCCAAGGTGGTGGGCAGGGTGGACTCTAGGTGGGCAGCTGCCCAGGAAGTGCAGGGGGACAGGTCTGGCTGGGGCACAATGGGGTCCTTGCTTTACGAGGAGGGTAGGGGACGCCCTCCCCAGCTGAGTCAGGGCATGTAAGTTGGATTTCACACTCCTCCACTGCCGCCCTGTCCCTGCCAGAGTTCTAAATTTATCCCCTTGGCCAGAGGCCAGAGTGGGAGTCGGGTCTAGCCTCCCTGAGGGATGGTCAGCTCAGCTCTGCCACCGGGCCCTTCCAGCCTCCCTGTCAGGAGGGGAACCAGGCTGCCTACCCAGCATCCAGCAGGAACAAGCAGCCTCCTTCCCAAGGCCTCAGTTTCCCTCATCTGAAAGCCAGGATGCAGTCTTGAGCTCAGGAAATGCAGTGAGCCCCCTGTTGGGGCAGGGTCACCTGGGGCCTGCTGCCTCCAAGCTTAGCTGGGTGCACACATTCCCATCCTAGGCCTGGGTGTCCCTCTGAGACTGGTGCAAGCTCAGGAGTGGGCATGACATGCCCTCCGAGTCACCCCTACCCCTGGGGTGGGTTTCCAATCGACATGGGAGCAAGTGTGGCCCCAGACAACAGCTACATTTGTTTTGGGGGTGCCAGTGGGCTGTGCTGTGAACCCCTATCTACACCTGACTCCTCTCGGGTCCTGAAGGGTGCCCCCCTACCCAGAGCCCACCTGGTAGATGCTGAAAAAGCTTGCCAAATGCCAGGGCAGATTATGTCCTGCAGGGCAGTCCCCAAGAGTTGGTGTCTGACTCTGAAACCTGGGCCCCTTCCCTTCAGAGCCCGCCCCCACCCCTGGCCTACACAGGTCCCTGCAGAAAGCTCAGCCACTGCCCTATGCACCCGGCACTATGGGGCAGCTGGGTGACTGTTGGTGTCACCAAGTCCCCTTAGGAACCTTCAGCCGACTCCACAGCCAGTGTCCTGATGGCTCACTGCCCCTGCCTCAGACCTGTCCCAAAGATCGCTCCTTTTCCACTTGCAGGGAATGCTTGCAGGTCACCTACTATCCAGCCACCTGCACTCAGGCCTTTGCCTGAGGCCTCCGGTCTGTCCTGGCAGGCATCGGGTCCCATGTCGTGTGGCCTGCCCAGCCCAGGTGGGGGTGTTCTCCCTGGTCTTGGCCTGTAGGGACAAGCCCCACCCACTTGTTGAAGACCCCAAAGCTGTGCGTGCTGGCCCTTGCCCCATGGGAAGGGGCTGGGGACTGTGCATGCCCTTGGCCTCGGCCTTTATCCCTGAAAGGGGAAGCAGAGGGTCACTACCCAGGGGTGCGGTGGCTCCCGGCTCTGCCCTCTGCACGCCTTGCTGTCATAAACCTGCAGCAGTGTGAGAAACGGGTGGGAACCCAGGGCCCCTGCCACCCTGGCCTGAGCTGATTGGTAGGCAGGTCTAGAAAAGCCGAGGGCAGGCCAGACCCGGACACCGGTCAGCAGGAGAGCCCACATCATGAGGGAGCAGCACCCACTGTTCCAGGGGAAGCCCCTCCCCACGTGTGGGGACCCTTGCCTCCACAAGAGACAGGTGAGAAAGCAGACAGGTGTGGGGGGCCTGGGGCAGGCAGGAGAGTCCTTTGGCCAGGTGTGGAGTCCTTGGGGTAGTCAGGGGAGCCCTGTCTCCCAGGTGTGGGCCCTGGGCCAGGCAGAGGAAACCCCCTCCCTGTCCAGGTGTGGGGGTCCTAGGGCGGGCAGAGGAGCCGTTTGTCTAGGTGTGGACCCTGGAGCAGGCAGGGGAGACTCCCATGTCCAGGTGTGGAGCCTGGGGTGGGCAGGAGACCTCTGGCTGCAGATGGAGCACGGAGAAAAGGGATGGTGGATGACAGTGCCTGGCATGCCCCTGTGCCCTGCAGGCCTTCACCCCACCCCCACTGCACTGCCCACACCTGCTTCGACCCCAAGCGGATCAGATGTGGCCCTGGGGTCATGTGATGCTGGGGGGCTGCTATAAATAGCCAGGGTGGGCACTGTGCCCCAGACGCCTTGGGGACGCACAGGAGGAACAGCTTGAGGAGCTGGGGAGGACGGCAGGCCTCGGCCTGGGGAAATGGAGCAGCGAGTGGGGTCACAGGGAGTGGGGGGCGAGCAGAGCTGGTGGGGCAGCGCCCCCCAGTACCAGTACATGCCCTTCGAGCACTGCACCAGCTACGGCCTGCCCTCGGAGAACGGCGGGCTGCAGCACCGGCTGCGGAGGGACACAGGCCCCCGCCCCAGCGCCCACCCCACACAGGTACACCGTGGTCTTCGGGCCACAGAGGGGCCAGGTGGGAGCACAGGGGCTTCTGTAAGCTAAGCAGCATGACCACGTGGCCAACGCGCACGCAGTCTGGGCCAGGCCTCCACATGGGCTGCAGGGTGTGCACACAGACTGCACGCCCAGAGGTGAGGGGTTCCTCTTCACTCAGCTGCAGGCATCCCCTTAATCAGAGGTGAGGGGATGCATAGAGATGAAGGGTACCCCTTAACTGACAGAAGTGTACCCCCATTTATCACAGAGGTTCGGGACACCCCTTAATCACAGATGGGGGCTCCCTTAACAAAGGTATAGGGTACCCCTCTAATTTCAGGGAGGTGGTGCCACTACAAGCCTGTCCTGGGTCTGGTAGTCCAGGCTCGACCACCTGGTCTGCTGGCTGGTTCACATCATAAGTGTGACCACAGACTGCCTGGCCTCAACTTCTGCCAGCCTGCCACCTACCCCAAAGCTGACCAGCCCAGCCCCAGCCTTGAACCTACCCCCCACAACCAGACCTCCCCCAAGCCGACCCAGCCCACCCCCAGCCTGAAATTCATCCCCCACAATCAGACCTCCCCACAGTTGACCAAGCCTATCCCCACCCCTGAACACCCCCACCCCCTAACCCCCACAACCAGACCTCCCAGCCGGCCAGTACACCCCCAGCCTCAAACCCACCTCCTAAACCAGACCTCCCCCAAGCCAGCCCAGACCACCCCCAGCCTCAAACTCACACTCCACAGCCAGACCTCCCCACAGTTGGCGTAGCCCACGGTCAGCCAGGCACGGGGGAGCTGGGCACCTGATCAGGGTAGAGAGGCAGCCGCTCTCTGTGACTCAGCCTCAGGGGACAGCCACCCTTCTGCATGTGGGACCGTGGGTTGGTGGGGACAGCCACTTTCTGAGAGAAATTCACCTTCCAAAACGTGTGTGTGTTCACCCTCTTAGAATTGGCAGGGACAATACCCTCCAGGACAGAAGTTGGGGGGACAGCCACCTTCTGGGGCTTGGGGTGGTGGGCTCAGGATCCAAGGGCGGGGGGGGGTGTCAGGCACCTGTAGGGTGAGGTATGGAGCTGTCCGGAACAGCAGATGGGCAACGTGTGGGTCCAGGCTCTGGGAACACAGGAGTGGAGCAGGAAGTGGCCCAGGGTCCCGCAGTGAGCAGCTCGGGGCTCAGGGCTCCTGGAAGGGGCAGCGTTGTCCAGTGTGTGGGGGAGGGGGCGGGGTGGGGGAGGTCCTTGCCTTCCCTTCAGGGGACCCATGTTGCATCTTGGCGGGTGTGGCTCTGGCCAAGCACCACACCTGTCCATAGATGCTCTGCGGGCGCGGGTAGCTGCCAGGAAGACAGAGTAGGAGTATAGACAGGCGATGGAAGCGTGCCGGTTCCGTTGAACGGCTGGGGAGAAAAACCTTAACAAAAACCGCATTCCCTGCCAGCAAGTGTGTGCTGACGCACAGCGCCCCCAATGGGTCCACACTGCAACTGCTTACGGAAGTACAAAGCCCAGCCTGTGTCCCTCCGAGCTGCTGGTGGCTTTGAACCGCTGACCATGAGGATTGCAGCCCAAAGCATAACCACTGCATCACCAGAGGTCCTGAGGAGAGCTAACATTAGAGGTGTTTAAGTGATTAAATGTCAGCCTCTGCAAACCAGAAACAGAAGCAAGCCAGCGAGAACCTTGTGGGTGACCCCGGCCTGCTTCACTCCTGACCTCAGGACGGCCCAGGTGCCACTGCTGGCCACAAGGTGACCAACCAAGTGCTGACCCTGGGGAGTCCTGGTCCACCGCTACCGTTGGGGACTGCCTGGGCAACCGCTGAACCCAGGGGACAGCACCAGTTCTGGGGCTCACATGAGTGAGTCCACTATCCAGGCAGTTAATAGGCACCCCATAGGAAGGGCTGGGTGCTTGTGGCTGGGCCAGCCAGTCCAGGCAGCTGCTGACCTGGGCCCCTGAGTGCAGCTGTGAGGGCCACACACCAGAGAGATGGACTTCCTGGAGGTGTGGTGACCACACTGGCCTTTGAGCATGCCTATGTCTCAGGGAGGGACAGGTCACCACAGTGCCCTCCTGCAGGAGTGGAGGGCTGTGTGGGGACAGGCTGCACTGGTCCCCCCCACCCGTCATTCCCTCACTGCCAGCGAGCCCATGCTGACTTGGCGACCCTGTAGGACAGGGGACAGGGTAGAAATGTCCTGAGACTGGAACTATTTGTGGGAGTAGAAAGCCTCATCGTTTCCCATGGAGTGACTGGTGGTTTTGAACTGATGACCTTGTGGTTTAGTAGCCCAATGCAAAACTGTTTGTCTCCAGGGTTCCTACCAGTCTCCATGGGGCTGTCCAAGCCTACAGAGCTGTATTACCAGGCTCCACAGCAGTCAGCAGTAGCCAGCTCTGTACCAATCCCTCAATGCCAGACTGCCCTGCCTCCAGACTCCCTTCCCTGCTCTCAGGGGGCGTCAGCTCTACACCCACCCACTCTGCTCATCTCAGAGCAGCTTCTGAGCAGGGTGGACAGGCATTGTCCTACCCATCCCCAGCCTCCCTCGGTCTTCAGTCTGGTCCCCGAAGCCAGGGTCCTGGTCAGGTCTGAGGCCGAGACCCGGGCTGTGGCTGTGGTTGACTGGCTGGCTGTCAGGCTGCTGCCCTGTCCGGGAAGCCCCTCTAGGGCAGCCCAGGGGCTCTGCCGATGCGGCCAGCTCACCCTTGCCATCCACACCGAACCTGGGGCCGGCTTAGTGCTGTGGACACAGGTCCCTGGTGAAGCCTAGGGTGCACGCCATGGGGACAAAGGCGTTCACAGACCAGTACAGCACAGTAGAGGGACAGGCAGACAGAGAGTGAACAGTGGGCCAGGGAGGGGCACTGAGGGCCAAAATGACCCCACTGCCTAGCTGGCTGTCGGCATGCCAGGGCCCCCACTGCTCTCGCTCTGCATTCTCCTGTCCTGTCCATTGTCCTCTTGACTGTGAGATGCAGGTGTGTCTGTTGCCCCTCTGCCCAGATCTATGGCCACCACCAAGAGAAGTTCTTCGAGAAGGAGCCAGAAGCAGGGGTCCCCCAGAGGAGAGGGTCCAGCACATCCATGGAAAGCAAGGACGAGGACCATGCCTCCAAGTGCCGCAGTGAGGATGGGGACCTGGGGACAGGGAGCTGGGGTGCCTTGCTGCGGCTCCCACACACAAGGACAGAGAGTTGGGAGGATGGGATGCAGGGCCAGGAGGGCAGCAAGGGGGTCCACGCCACCTCCACCCTATTCCCCAACCCCCTTAAGCAATAGGAACCCCATGTCCCCTAGTGTCCCTGTGCTCCAGGACACATGCACAAGGACAGGGGCATTGGGTGGGTGGGGACCAGACGGGTCTGGATGAGCTGCCCTGCCCCCTCTGCTGCCCCCTCTGCTTCCCCTCAGACTGCTGCCGCCGCCTGGGCCACATGGTGCGGAGGAAGCTGGGGGAGGACTGGATCTTCCTGGTCCTGCTGGGCCTGCTCATGGCGCTGGTCAGCTGGAGCATGGACTACGTCAGCGCCAAGAGCCTGCAGGGTGGGCTTCCCAGGCTGCATGGGGGATGGTGGGTGGGGTCCCCTGGCATGCCGTGGGCACCCGAGGGGTTGGAGGCCCTGGTGGGGACCATGGTGAAATGCTTGGGTGCTGGCCAGGGGGTACCCAGCAGTGCCTCCCTTGGGGAAGCTGACCACTGAGAGCCCTTGGGGACCCAGGGAGTTGAGCACCGGATCACCGTCACCAGGAGGAGGGGCCCCCACACAGACAGGCCTGCCCTGCACCAGCACTGAGAGTCCACACCCAGGGCCCTTGGTCTCAGGACCCACTGTCACCTCACTCGAGTGGGTCTCCTGCATGGCCCCTAGTCCCCACACCACAGTGTCCACAGCGAACCAGTGGGCCATAGGATGCCAAGCACATTGGGCGGGCCCCTTGCCCACTCACTGCCCTCCGCAGCCTACAAGTGGACCTACTACCAGATGCAGCCCAGTCTGGCCCTGCAGTACCTGGCCTGGGTCACCTTCCCACTGGTCCTCATCCTGTTCAGCGCACTCTTCTGCCACCTCATCTCCCCCCAGGCTGTGGGTGAGCGCTCGCTGTGCTGCCCCGCCCCCGCCCGTCTCTGCCACTGTCCCCCCTCCCCCACTGCCCTCTCACTGCCCATCCCTCTGCTGGCCGGCCCTCCAGGCTCCGGGATCCCTGAGATGAAGACCATCCTGCGAGGGGTCGTCTTGAAGGAGTACCTCACCGTCAAAGCCTTCATCGCCAAGGTGGTGGCGCTGACCGCTGGACTGGGCAGTGGCATCCCAGTGGGCAAAGAGGTGGGGGCCACAGGGGCAGCTGGACAGGTGTCCGACTCAGTGGACTTGGAGAGGAGGAGGGTGGGGACAGAGACCCAGGAGGGAGCAGGTGTGCAGGCCCTGGTCCTGTGTGGGAGGTCCGATGGGGCACAGTGACCCGCACACAAAGCTCTCCGCCCACCAGCCAGCCGTACCTGGCCCTTGCCCACCAGGGGGCAGGATCAGCCCCCAATTGATCCAGGAGAAGGCTCCAGCCAGTGAGAGTTCGTGACCCCAGACCTTGTCTGGTGGTCCAGCCTAATGGGCCCTCTCAGGTGCACTTTGGTTCTGTGGTCCCTCAGTCACCGTCCGCACATGCTCCAGGGTGTCCAGGGTCTCCAGTACACAGGAGGCCAGAGCTCACTGTGGCCTGTGTCCACCCCACCCATCCTGCAGCCAGGACACTGTCCCTCCTCACAGCACAAGGCCTGGCTCCGTCAGGACCTGCTGGCTTAGCACCCTGGTGCTGTGGGCTCATGGGACACAAGTCTCCATCTCTCAGCTCAGGGGTGGCTGTCCGAGATTGGGGGGTCTCCTCGTCTGCTCCTCTGAGGGTCTGGGGAGAACCTGCCCTCCCTCCCGGCCACCACCGGCTCCCATGTGCCTCAGGTGGAGTCCATCCTTCCTGTGTCCCCCTGGCCCTGTCTCAAATGGTGACCTGACCCGTCAAACCTTCCAACACCCCATTCCCAAACAATGTCACATTAAAGGGACGGGGCTCCGGACTCCAACACAGTTCAACCAGGGGACCTGCTCTGGCTTCCCCACATGCCCACCCCACCCCACTCCCACCACCCCATTGGAGAGTTGGCCGCACTCTCATCTCCAGTCCCCTGCTATCCCCCAGAGCAGGCGGGAATGAGGGCAGGGTGTCGCGGCCCCGAGCCCATGCCCATGCCCCCTCCCCAGGGCCCCTTTGTGCACATTGCCAGCATCTGTGCCGCGGTGCTCAGCAAGTTCATGTCCATTTTCT